CGGAAGCGCTAGCCAGGCTTCGAGAGACCATACCAACGAGCCCACCCGGACCACCGGCGTACCCCCGGAGGGGCAGCGAGGTGGAAGACAGGGACCGGACTCCGGAGGCATTGCTGCGGCCGAGAGAGGGGTCTGCGTGTGCGGGGCAACACCAACCTGCTTCCACCAGGGGGCAGACAGCAGGGAAGGCCCGGAGGCGTTCGGCTGCTGGCTGACCCGAGGCGAAGGAAGGAGGGGAAACGAGGAGCGAGGCCCAGGGGCGTCGAGTCCTGGTTTCCGCACCTCCTTACCCAGCGAGAGACGAGAGTGACGAGGCCGTAGCGGCGTCACTGACATCTGAGCGCTGAGGCGAGGGGAATGAGAGCGGCGAGGCAACGTGGCGGCGCACACTGTCATTCTCCTCTTGGACGGAGGAGACTGGGAACGGCGAGGCAAATGAGCGTCGACCTGGACTGCCAGTCCCGACCATGAGTGACCCAGAGGAAGTAGAAACTGCTCTTTTATTGAAACCGACTGGCCAGCGGCGGAACAGAAAGAAAAGGAAAACAAAGATTATCCACCCGGCCCTCCTCCGGGGGAAGGAGAGGTGCAGAGGCACCCTCCCGAAGAGCAGCTCCGACGTCCTCTTGGTCGCCCGTCTCAGGGTCGCTTACCTCTCCTCTGGCTGGGGGGCTTCGACGAACCCCGAGCGGGCTGGGCACCTCTCTTGCGGCCGGCGCCCTGCTGCTTAGCTGGCTGCTGCTTGGGCTGGGCAGGGGCGGAGGTGGTGGCAGGAGGGCGCCCTCGGCGACGAGCAGCCGGAGGCGCAACCGACAGGGACGGGGCAGCCACAGCCTGTCTCCGGGGCATGATGTGCTTGATCACCTCCGACTGCTTCTGGGCGGCGGAGAACTGAGTTCAGGAGCCCACTCTTGTCCGACTCCCTCATATCAGCCAAGGTGAGCCACAGATGTCGCTCCTGGACCACAAGTGTGGACATCGCCCGGCCCAGGGAACGCGCAGCGACTTTCGTCGCCCGTAGGGCAAGGTCCGTCGCCGTACGCAGCTCTTGGAGCACCCCTGGGTCGGTACCACTCTCCTGCATGTCACAGAGCGCCTGGGCCTGGTGGACCTGAAGGAGGGCCATGGCATGCAGAGCAGAAGCAGCTTCAGAGGGTCCTTAGTCTCAGTCTTAACACCGCGATGGTCATGCTCCCACAGTGAGAACATGACTCATTCATAAACGCTGCCTCAGCGTGCGCGAGGCCCAAGCACGAGAGGCAGCGATCATGACCATCAACCGGAGGCAGAAGTTGACCGCATCCAGAAACACACGGGTGAAACGTCATCCTGAAAAGGACGCGATCTTCACCCGTGTTGCTCTTTCACAGAAAAACACTCTCCTTATTGTGCTGAAGCACACAGGGATAACCGCGGCAACACAGCGGGGAAACTGCAAGCCCGCTGTGCGCACTCAACCGAATACCAGCTGTGACAACAGCTCTTTGAAAAAAAGGCAGATCGCGTGAAGAAACAGCTGGTACCAGGGAGATCGCGAAGATCGCTGAAGCGCCGTCACACCAACACAGAGAGGTCTCGGAGAAAACAGCAGACTCGTTGAGCGTGAAGACAAACACAATCTTGAAGCTCATCACTCAGAGGACACGACCGGTCGGCTCCGAAGCTAAAAGCATATGTATGTGCGCTCGCTTCCGCTTTATACCCGCACTGGCAGGCGGGGCGCGGAATGCAAGTCTTGCATGCCAATTCATTGGCTCGTTTTAATTCACTCGAAGGCAATTGGTCTCCATAGCTTGATCCCAATTCGTTGGAAACTCCTCCAACGAGACGTAGGAGTTCCCTAACGAAAGGGAACAGCTTTCCGTCAATGCACTGATTTAAACTGAATGTGAATGAAAGAAAGAAAAATCATGTTATTATTTCGTTCTACTAAATAATGACCCTGCAGCTGATTGTGACATTTATAGCCTTACAGTAAAAGGACTTACAGGATCAATGACTTATTACAGGCTCAACAGTCCTTTCAAGTTTGTCTTCCTCCATTTGAGAACAATAATGTGTTCAAACAGTAAAGAAATGCTTATATTAAGCTGGCCATACACTGTGCAAAATCTTTTTTTTTTTTTTTGGAAAAATTTAGCTTCTATATCTATGTACCTCAGGCAAGACATTGAAGACAACCAACCCCATGACATCACGCGCTGTGGTACTGAGAGTTCTCTCTCTCTCTCTCTCTCTCTCTCTCTCTCTCTCTCTCTCTCTCTCTCTCTCTCTCTCTCTCTCTCTCTCTCTCTCTCTCTCTCTCTCTCTCTCTCTGAAATTTAAATCCCCAGTTTTAAAAGCCCCTGGTATAATTCATGCGAGATCAGCTCTATGGCTTTTTACTGGGACATTTAAGACACTAACAAGAGTTTACATATCGGCCCAGCCAATCAGAGTGTTTCACACCTCATCCTGACCAACAAGAACTTGATCTTCTCTCCTATTCTGAGACGACAGGGGAGATCAAGGGGTCAAAGTCACTGTTTATATTCGCAAGCATTCCTGATAACCCGGAGAACGCTGTAACCTCATCCTCTCTCTCGCAGTACTGTAATGTAAGCAAAGCTGTTCCTGTACCACAGCAGGTGTGGCCATTGCCCTGATACTCAGCTGATGACAAATAGAAGACAGCCAATGTTAGGCCATTGCTTTCCTATAAATTAAGTCAGAAAACTTGCATGCAAAATGTTTGAAACAACTCTAGACACATCCGTGTTTATTATGTTCCTTAGGATACCTGTTGATCGGTGATGATCGGCAAATATCTGACAGCGTCAGTGTTTCTCTGGCTATTTGCCATCTCATCCACATGTCTGCTCTATTAATAGCACTTTAAGTGTTAGATAAACACTGAGGCGATCTGCTGTAACCCCCTTACATGCGGACACGTTGACCCGCCCCTGTAGTTTACTGGTACACACAATGTGTATCCATCAGTCAGGCCATAAATTGACAAATATGGATGCAACAACATCATTAAATGTTTCAAAAGCACTGACCCTCGTATCACGATAAGTTTTAAATGGTGATGCTACGATTTTCTCTAGTCGTCAATCTCAAACCATCAGTTCAATGAATCAGTATTTTCTTAAGCCAAACACGAAACAGGATTGGATTAATATGGGACGAAGTGTGATGTAATAATTACCAGAGCTTCTCTGTAATGTGAATCACTTCGGAATCCAAAATTTTTGTCAATTTCCAGAACTTTTTACAAAAACTCATGTTCCCAATGCACTAAATAATTTTCTGTCTTTTACCCTCTACCTGTAGGCCATTGCACTATTTTTGTTTCTTAAATTATACAAAAAAGGTTAACAGTAACTTTTGGCCCTCTAGCAGTTAAAAAAACAAAACTGCTGATAAATATGGTTATCCTACTGCTCTTCGCCGCTACGGTGCGCGCGCGAACCGGCGATACGATGTTCATTGGAACGCGCGATCTGTCATTCCCCACATTCCTCACTCATTCTAACTATGTATTTTGATAATCACGTCTTTTCGAACAGAGAGATATATGAATTATCAGACCCCCATCGAATCAATATTCCATCTAGCTAGTATTAATAGATGTTTAAAAAACACGGTCACCTTTCGTTAAAAATATAATTAGTAGTACTTTTACTTGAGTAGAATATTTTATTACTCTTTCCACCTCTGTATATGCATATATGCAAAAACCTCTAAGTCCGTTTGACATTTTTCTTTTAAATGAACATTTCTGTTTTTAAATTTCTGACATTTTTGAAAATAAGGCATTTCAATAACTGACTAAAAACCCTTTCATTGCCATTGAAATTACATTACTGAACCTGAACATAGGAGCCGTTAAAAATGTTTATTTGAAAGAAAAATGTCAGATGGACTTAGAAGTTTTTGCATTTGAAGTCTTCATATATACATTAAGTAATATGAAATATATTAAATAATAAATTAAAGCTAAATAAAAATATTTAAGAAAAACTAATAAAAATAACAAAAGCACATACGAAAATTACTAAAAACTTAACTACAATTTAAATTATATATATATATAACTTAACTAAAATTTAAATTATATATATCATGAACTGCTTGGAGACGCAAAGGTTGAGGATCCAAATGCAGTAATTTATTGAAAGGGTAATCCACAATTGTAGTCCAAAACTAGCAAAAGGTCATAAACACATGCAGAGTCCAAATAAAAATTATTCTGAACGTAGTACGCTAAACATGTGATCGGGTTGATGACCGCGTTCATATGTCACAAGCTTCAAATCAGAATAGATTTTTTGACATGTGCACAATGGAAATGGTGGTCACACCAGATACTGACTGGTTTTCAGACCCTCTCGAATCCATCCCCCAGCATGTTTTAGAGTGGCCTTTTATTGTGGCCAGCCTAAGGCACACCTGTGCAATAATCATGCTGTCTAATCAGCATCTTGATATGCCACACCTGTGAGGTGGATGGATTATCTTGGCAAAGGAGAAGTGCTCACTAACACAGATTTAGACCGATTTGTGAACAATATTTGAGAGAAATATGCCATTGGTGTACATAGAAAAAGTCTTAGATATTTGAGTTCAGCTCATGAAAAATGGGGGCAAAAACAAGTGTTCCATTTATAATTTTGTTCAGTGTATATAAATGGAATATAATATAAATAAGAGCTTTGAAAAAAAATATGAATAAAATATTAATCAATATTTTAATAGTAATTAATAAATAATACAAAAATCACACAAAAGACAAACATAAAGGCTGTTGCTGCATTTCAATCAATTTGTAAAATCTGAATTTCCAACTTCCTACGAGGAAAAGAGCAGTGGAATAGCACTTGAAGTCAGACAGCATTCCCATTTTGTTTGTTTACATGTCATATCGGTAAATTGTGTGGCAAAAGGCTTGATTTGTGTATTTGTGTTGGCTGTCTGTCTCTCACAGTTCTTTTTAACTTGCTCTGTCTGTGTCTCAGAGCCCAGTGTCAATGCAGCTTTAGTGCAGGACAGACTAAACCATGAAGCGGAGGAGTTGGAACGGAGGCTCAGTCTGCTGTCTCACAGCACAGGTAACTGTCTCCTGTGCCCACTTTTGTCTCACATTGGACCCCCAAACCCACATCCAAAATGTCACTCTGGTGAACCTCAATCTGGAGGATTTACGTAAAGCTTCAGTTATCTGTAGAAGTTATCATGTTTGGATGATGGCATCAGATCTTTCCTTTTTGAAAAAGAAGTTCACATTAGCATATTTTTAAAAAGAGTACTTACTGAAATAATATACTTTCAAAGAATATAGTTAAGTATAAACTGAATGCAATTTACTGAATTTTTAGAAACGACTGCATGAAAATGTTTAAATTTAGTTTAAATAGTTTAAATTTATATTAGATGCAATAAGCTGGTTTTTAGAGTGTGTAAGTAGGACTTAAGTACATTTTTATTATGTAATTTCATAATTGCTTATATTGTCTTTGAAATATGGATAAATGTACTGCCAAAGCATTTATGATAAACTAAAAAATATTTAACGTAATTTATGTCATGTATTAAATATATTTGCAATTTAGTACATTTATGTATTGTAATATCAAATAACATATACCATTATACAGTTAACATTATAATAAGTATTTTACATGTGCTTTAGTAGGTTAGTCAACTCATCAAAATAAGTGTCTCTTTAAGTACACTTCAGTGGCATTTTATTTCATTAATTTTATATCATCTGCATGGACAGATGTTTAAAAATATACATTTAGAACTCAAAGTAGCCTACAAGTGCATATTTATTGCAAATAAGTTCACTTCTTTTAGGTATCTGTGAAGAGAGAAGGAAATATTTGTGCAGTCAGGATGAATCATTTTGCTCTCTCCTTTGTCCTGAAAGCTTCCAGCTCCCGGTTCGGCTCTTTGATGACAGGAGATGACTGCAGCATATCTGGTTCATCTGACACCTCGGACACAGATTGCAGCATTAGCGGTCGCCCTGCGCCGTGGACCGATCTGGTTCTGCCCAGCTCTGCAGAAACGCCTCACCCGCAAGCATCTCAGGTCGAGGAGAAACTCTCCGCTGGACTCCAGGTCCCGACTGATCCCGTTCGCTCAAGGAAGCTAAAAGAAACCGGCCGACAGAACTCATCCGACAGCGGCATTGCGACGGGAAGCCACTCGTCTTACACGGGAAGCTTCTCTTCCTACAGTGGCAGTCTGGATGCTGCCGGTCCGGAGGAGGAATACGGCACACCGTTCAACCTGCCACCACCTGCTATCCCAGAGAAACACCTGTGCACGTGCAAACATGAGTACCAGATTCCCTCTTCGCTACGATACCTTTATGACTCTCCCCGCAGGCTGCTGGAGATCACGAGAGCTCCAGAGGACAACAGAGACAGTAGCAGATCTCAAAATGAGACTGGACTTTTAGAGCCATTTGTCCAGAAACAGTCTGAAGAAAGTTCAGAATCTCCCGGCCAATCAGATTCTGGCTCAGCTCTGATTCATTCTCTGGAGCTTGGTAAAAGGGAGGAGTCAAAGACAAAGGAAGGCTTAATAAAAGAGGAGGAGTCTCAGGGATTTTTTTGTAATAAAAGCTGCTGTGATTGTGCAAAATGTTCACTTCCTCCTGCCGGGTCTAAATCGCTCTTCACTACCTGCCCCATCTGCAGAGGACTCAAGGTACACACACTACTCAGGGTTATTATAAGTTTAAAACTAAAGCGAAAAATAATTGTAATAAATTAAACTGAAATAAAATGAAATAAATCTAAATCTAAATTAAAAATCTTATTATATTTTGGTTTGTTGCCTCATTTTAAGCTAGTAACTAGTTGCTCATTTTAATTTAGCTTAACTTGATCTACTAAAATAACTAAAACAGAAAAAAACCCATTAATATATAGACATAAAAAAACTAGTGCTGTCAAACGATTAAAATATTTAATCGCGATTAATCACATTAATGTCATAGTTAACTCGCAATTAATCGCACATATTTATCTATTCTAAATGTCTCTTGATTTTTTTTTTTTGTCCCATTATTTTTTCTCATTTTAATGCTCTTATCAACATGGAAAAGTGGATTCGGCTTGCTTTGTGCAAATGTTTTTTTATTGAAAACAACATTGACAATACTGTGTTCAATTTCACACTAACATTCTCACTTGGAGCAAATAATCTCTCACATAATGTAACACTGTCGTGTCCATCAATAAAAGGTTGAAAGAAATACTGACGAGGTCCTGATATTGACGAGGGGGCGGAGAATTCGAATCAGCTGTGTGTGTGTGCTTGGCCATCAAGTGGTATTCAGACTGGATGTGCTGCGATGATGATAGCTCAGTTCACAACAACAAAACTCACAGATCACTTTGGTCTCGTCAATGGAACCATTTGGCAACTTTTTAAAAGTAAACTTTCCATTCAGACTCTTATTGGCATCCATTTAGGCGTCTCGCGCTCGTCATCCACTCAAAACGTAACGTTAACCAACTATTTGGCCGGCTCGCAAGCCCAAACAAATTGTTTAATGCACAGATAGCCGTGGATTATCCTGCTTATACCATGGTCATTTGCCAACATTGAAAACTTAAAGCTGTTGTTGATGTCTGTACTGCAATATTTAACCGGAAGAGTAAAAAATGGCGGTTATTTCCATTAGTTACAGCTCCTTAGATCTAGCATTCTGCACACTTTGAATCAGACACATTTATTTGAATGAATGAATTATAGCATTTATTTTAATTAATTATCGAGAGAGAGACAGAGAGATGCGTATGTGCTATTTTATTATTAAAAGTCACGGGGCAGCGTTGATAACAAGTTTCTCTGCTCCTGAATGTTTCTGTTTGCACAGTGCGATCTCCGAGTGACGTAATGCGTGTGTGTGCTTCCATGTGTTCCATCGTTAGAAACAGTTTTATTGCACACCTTTCAGCCAATCAGAATCGAGTATTTAGACAGACAATTGCATAATACAGGCCTACAAATAAGCACAGCAAACATTTGTGAAAAAGCACAATTACACCCCCCCCCCCAAAGAGTGTAGCCCTATATTATGGAAGCCACATATATCACAATTACCTTTTTTATTTATTTATTATTTTTTATTCTGTGGCAGGAATAAGCTTCCATACTATACTGTAGTGTTGGGAAGCGACACCCTCTGGTGTACTGCAGTAAGAACAGACTCCATCCACTGCATCCAGTTAAGTTCTTTGTGGCATTGATTATGGTGTTATGTAATGTTAATTGATTTGCTCTGTGTGTTTGTTAAACAGGGCACATTTCTTCCTCATCCTGGAGGGACTCTACTGCCCACTGTGCCAAGTAAGACTCCTGCAGCCAGTATATCTCTTTACAACCTCTCCCTCATCCTGCATATCCCATAGTGAAATACGTGAAGGATTTAAGAGTCTCCATTAGAAAAAGAAGTACACTTTAACATGCTTATAAAAAGACTACTTATTATGGAAAGAATATAATTAAGTGTGAACATAATGATATGTTTTAGGGCATTAAATTGCATGTTAATTTATAGTAAATGAAATTAGATGAACTTTAGAGTGTTTTTGACCCACTTTAGTTGGACTTAAGTACATCTTTATATGTAGTTTTGGTAATAACTTCTATTTTCTTTTAAATATAGTTAGTGTACTGCCGAATTTACTGACAAGCATTTATGATATACTAAAATATACTTTAATGTATATACACTATAATATATATATATATATATATATATATATATATATATATATATATATATATATATATACACTATGTAAGTTAAATATATTTGCAATTATACACTTGTAACGATAAAGTTGCAATTTAGTGCATTTAAAATATATTAACTTTAACCCTTTAGGCGCCAGAGGTTTTTTCCTAAAACGTTCGATTTTGACATCTTAATTTCAAAAGGCTATATCTTAAAAGTGATAAAAGATAGAGACTTTCTGTAAATTAGAGAAATATTAAGGATGACCCAAAGTTTATGTAGGGATTACATTTTTCCATCCAATTTGCATATTATGACGTCATATGGTGGCGGCAATCTTGGATTATAGAATTTTCATGAAAAGTCACATGTTTTAATGATAAAATGCAGCACTTCTTTCCCCCCAAAATGTCCATCACCTTCTGTATGTTATATTGCACAATATTGAATGCTCAGGTATATAGTAAGTAGTAAACAAACTGTAAATCATTACTAATAAATGGTAGAAACAAACCGAATGCATGTAGCGGTTGCCTTTTGCTGTAGAGATTTTCCATTTACTACATACAGTAGACACTCTGATTCCATGTATGGGGCAAATATATTTTATTCATATGACATACAAACACAAGTAGACAAGACCTGTTTAGTTCAAACGCTCACTCGCCACGGCAAGGCACAGATCATGAGTGAGATGATACGAGCAGCGCGGCCAGATCTGTGCACAGCTCAGACTACTGTCATCGCGACTCCTCACCCTGCCTCCACGTCGCCTCCTAACTGTCCTATGAATACTTCGACCTCGTCTAACATACCCAGTGGTATTAGATAAAGTCTCCACCACAATACTGTCGCCGCGATTGCGGAGAGGCTCTGATAACATGGCTCACTCGCACACTAGCTCCGCTTTTGATCGCACTGATTCAATGCGCTCTAACTCGAACATTTTGGATAGAAACATGATGTTTTTTTGATTCGGGGATGAAGTGTGACATGTCTGCCATCCAGTGGTGGGGAGGTCGAACGAAATTTGACACCCAATTTGACAAAATCGGCCGTTTTATTCAGTGCCGCGTCTTGTCGAGTAAACTCGACCGTGGCGCCTAGAGGGTTAAATATAATATATCCCCTGTCATTGACGAAAGGAGGGCTTGCACAGTTAGTGATGAACATATTCATACTTGTGAACCCGGTCAGGCTAACCAGCATAAGAGAGAAAAGAACCTCAACGGGCATAGGCCTGGAGTTAGATGGCCAAGAGCTTGTGAGAAAAACTGCATGGGACACGGTAAACACAGATATGCTTTGCATTGGAAAGATTAACTGGTACAGTTGAAAAGAAGCTGGATAAATTTGGGGACATCATTTACGCATATGGAAGTGAGAGGTTTGGTTTGGAAAAAAGGAAGGAAAAAGTACAAACTACTACTGGAATGTCTAGACGGCAGCAGAAAATTGAAGGGTTAGTTAGAGAAAGGAGACAGCTGAGGAAGCAATGGAAAAGAGCAGAACAAAGTCAGAAGGAGGGACTCAATCTCTTACAAAGGGCCATAAAAGATAAGCTGGCAACATTACGCAGAGGATGTCAATTCCATCAGACATACCACCTATCAACCCAACAGAATACCAAATGGAGGTATGTGCACCTAAGTGGAAAGAGGTAGAGCAGGCTGTGAGAAAGGCAAGGGCTTCATCATCTCCAGGGCCTAATGGTGTTCCGTACAGAGTGTACAAGAGTGCTCCAGGAGTTCTGCGAATTCTGTGGAAATTGATAAAAGTGGCATGGGAAAAACAGGTTGTACCTAGAGCATGGCGCAGAGCAGGTGGAGTCTTTATACCTAAAGAAAAAGATGCTACAAGCATCAGTCAGTTTCGTCCTATTTCACTATTAAACGTTGAGGGTAAGATTGTCTTTAGCATTATTGCCCAGAGATTGTCCACCTACCTGTTAAAGAATGGCTTCATTGACACCTCAGTTCAAAAAGCGGGCATTCCAGGGTTCTCAGGATGCTTAGAACACATCAATGTTATCTGGCAACGAATTCAGTCAGCTAAAAAGGAGAGGAAGGAGCTCCATGTGACATTCCTGGATTTGGCTAATGCATATGGTTCAGTGCCACATGAGCTTCTTTGGGTAGCATTTGATTTTTTCAGAGTACCAATGTCAATAACAAATTTAGTGAAAGCCTATTTTGGAGATTTGCAATTCAGTTTCTCAACTCCAAAATTCAGCACTGCATGGCAATGCCTAGAGGTTGGAATAATGGCAGGATGCACCATTTCTCCACTGGCTTTTACCATGGCAATGGAAGTAATCATTAGGGCATGAAGATGGGTAGTAGGAGGAGAGCGCTTGGCTTCTGGGATGCGACTACCACCAATCAGAGCATACATGGATGACATGACAACCATGACTACAACAGTAGCCTGCACTAATCGGTTATTGAGGAAGTTAACAGATAATATTGAATGGGCACAAATGCAATTTAAGCCCTCTAAATCAAGGAGCATCTCGATAGTTAAAGGAAAGGTAGTAGATAAAATATTCTTCATTAATGGTGAGGCAATACCAACAGTTTCTGAGAAGCCAGTGAAGAGTCTTGGGAGATGGTACGATGGGGATCTAAAGGACACAGTTCGGGTGGGAGAAGTTAGACGACAAGCAGTGGAAGGGTTGAAGAGCATAAACAGCTTTGCTCTACCTGGCAAACTAAAACTCTGGTGCTTTCAGTTTGGTCTACTGCCGAGGTTGCTGTGGCCACTGACCGTGTACGACGTTTCTTTGACAACAGTGGATAAGCTGGAAGCGTTGATAAGTTCATACATCAGGAAATGGTTGGGAGTTCCACGCTGCCTCAGCAGAGTGGGACTTTATAGTAAAGGAATATTGCAGCTGCCAGTCTCTGCTTTAACCGAGGAGTTTAAGTGTGCCAAGGTCAGACTGGAAATGACCTTAGTAGAGTCACGCGACAAATGTGTAAGGGAGGCAGCACCTGTGTTAAAAATTGGTAGAAAGTGGTCAGCAAAGAAATCTGTTGTAGAGGCAAAGGCTGCCCTTCAAATTGGGGATATCGTGGGACAGGTACAGCATGGAAGAGGGGGTTTTGGGCTCAGTTTAGCTCCTCCTTATATGGCACAAAGCAGGCCCAGCTCAAAGGAGGAAGCTGGTAGTCAACGAGGTGCGAAAGCAGGAGGAGAGGATGAGGTGTATAAAGGCCATTTCCCAGGCCAAGCAGGGAGAGTGGATGAGATGGGAGAGTGTGGAACAACGCAAGATGGGCTGGCAAGACCTTTGGTCAATGGAAGAGAGTAGGATCAGTTTCCTTATTAGGTCAACATATGATGTTCTTCCATCACCGCAGAACCTAAACCTCTGGGTTGGAGAGGATCCCTCTTGTCCTTTGTGTTCATCACCTGCCACATTAAGGCACATTTTGACAGGATGTAAGGTGGCTCTTAGCCAGGGTCGGTTTACTTGGCGCCATGACCAAGTACTGCGATGTTTGGCTTTAGCATTGGAAGGCAAGTGTAGTATGACCAATAAGTTGCCGCCTGTTCTAGCAAAACATTACACGCAGAAGACAATATTCCTCCGCCCAGGCGAGCAACCACCAAGAAAAGGTGTTAACACCAATTCTTGCCCAGGACAACTGGAAGCTGCTGGGGACTGGAAGATGCTGGCTGATCTTGATCAACGGCTTATTTTTCCACCTGAGATTGCCACCACTAACCTACGACCAGATATTGTTTTGTGGTCTGGATCAGCACGCATTGTTCAACTGATAGAGTTAACAGTGCATGGGAGGATGCTGTAGATGAAGCATATGAGAGGAAGAAACTGCGGTATGCTCATCTGGCCACTGAAGCAGAACAGCGAGGATGGAGAGTCCAGGTTTATCCAGTGGAAGTGGGTTGTCGAGGTTTTGTGGCACACTCTACAACCTGGTTCCTCAGAGACGTCGGATTCAGCGGCCAAGAGTTGCGTCGCACAGTAAAGAACTTATCTGAAGCAGCAGAAAGGAGCAGCAACTGGCTGTGGTTGAGACGGAAAGATTCTAGCTGGCTGTGTACAGGCCGCCCCTCTACGGTTTCGTAGAATTCTTGAAAACTTGAAGAGTCTGTTGGTTTATTTGTATACGTTCCTGTGTATATTGCGTGAATGACGGGTGGTTGGGCAGATATTGTGTTTTGCGGTAGGTGGTATGCCATACGGAACCGTTGCCACTGAAACTGCATATTAACGCACCAGTGGGGCTCGACAGACTTAGTCAAACGGGTTGGCGCGTATGGTTGGGTTGCGGAGAGATTGTGAGATTGTGGTTAGGTCTCAGCAGCAGGAGGGATGTAGAGGTCAGTAAGCTGGGCAGAGTTGAGTGGGGGACGGAGGGGGGTGACTCTGGGACGCCAGAGTCACTGTCGAGCCCTCTTGAGGTGTCGTGGGCTAGTCGACGAAACACTGAGGACGGAAGGTGCCCACTTGAAGACCCTAGAGATGTCCCCTACTCGGCCCAATCCAGACGGTTGTCGTGCTGGTCCTGTAGTTGCAGCCGTCGCGTTTGCTGACGCGCCAAGTACACTGCAGCCGTTAACGCCGGACAGAAGGGGAGTCACACCACCATATGGAAAGAAGCGTAAATGGATGGAGAAGCATAGTTTACTGTAAAGCTACGTCTTAGTTTTGCTTATCTTGGCGAAAGCCGAGTACAAATCAGCATGAAGTTTTAACATCTACTCTCGTGTAATGGAAATCAAATTTTTGTATCCATCAACACACTACAGTTAAAATTATAATCAAGTATATTACATGTACTTTAGTATGTTACTCAACACATCAAAATAAGTGTACTTCTTTAAAACATGACAGAAGATTATTAAAGCAATGATTTAAAATGGATGTTAAAGTAAACTTTATTTGACATAAAAACAATTTTAAATGTTAAAAAACAGTCATAAAAGTGTTCTCTCTTTAAGTACACTTAAGTGGCCTTTTATTTCATTAATATTCTATTATCTGTAGTATTTTAAGATTTGAAGTGCACATTCAATACAATTAAGTGCACTTCTTTTTCACAAGGGTCTGGAAACCTCACGTATTCATTAAGTAATACACAGCGCATTTTGAGATTTATATGTGAGGAAAGTACAGACACACTCTCAAAGCAACAGGTGTTACTTCAGCAGGTGAATATTCAGCCACTCCCACTGGACCAGCCACCAATCAGGAGCCAGTGGAGATCAGCGAGTTATCTTTGACCAATCAGGATCCATGGAAGCCCTTATCTAAACATTCACAGACCAATGAGGAGGAGCGATCTGAGGGATACATCTCCTGTCTGTCTGATCTCCTGGCACACTACAATCCTGCTGGGAAATCAGTCAGTAGCAGCGTTTATGAGGCAATGTCATCATCCAGACGCCCCGTTTACACAGTACACACTGTCCTCTATGAGAACTGCCTCCAGTGCAGGAAAGGAGAGGGAAACTGCCGGCTGCTTAGACTCACGCCTCCATCCAGACTCTCAATTTTTGTCCAGGATCAGAGCAGAGAACTGAGTAGAAACAATTCGAACATCCCGGAGTCGGTCTGCTCTTCCATCGAGTATCCCAGTAGGCCAGTGTCTCTGCAACGAATACCTGAAGAAGGTAAGAGAACGTCGACCCCAAACCTCTCACACTGGACTTTGTCTCATCTCTAACCCAACTCTTTTTGACGACTCAATCTTCTCTTCCTCACTCCAGAAGTCTCTGTCTAATCATATTAATAATTAGCTTTACTCTTCCGCAAAACCCATCTATATTGTTGTTTTCCATTCGTCGACTTTGAGGATTTGAATGGGTGAAGAAGCTCAAGGACTTGAAAGCGAGTTCGATACAAGGTTGATGTCGGAGATGCATGTGTCAACATAAGTTATTTCTGACTTCTGAGCTAAAATGGGATTTAAAACAAGACACAGGATTCATCCAATGTAACATTTTTGTTCATTTTCAAAACTTACATTTCAACAAAATATAACATTAGAGAACAAAAACACTTAAAAAAAAAAACACTGGAAGAGAGAGCAAGCATCAAGCCATTTCAGAAAACTATCGCATTTCTTTCCATAAAAAGAAACTTACTTAGTTACTTTTCTTACCTCTAAGTAGTTACTTTTTTATTGTAATGCAATACTTTTAATAGTAACTTTTCCCAACAATGGTATTTATCCATCATACAAATAAAGACATCATCTAGCTCCTTATTGTCAGAAACATCATAGTGAAAAAGAAATGCTCTAACAGGATAGGATACTGACAGTTAAACATGACAAACTGACTAAATATGTATTACAAGGGTAATAATGATGAATCATTTTTAAATGTACTTCTTTTATTTTATTATTAAACATGAAATTATTAAGCACTGTCCAATTACCTTTCGTGTTGAGTGCTAACCATCTGTCATTAATTTTAATAATTGAATTGTTACTAGCAGTGATTAATTTATCAAAAATTAATTTGTACATTTAGGATCCAAAATACTAACCCCTTGTAAATGGTTGAGGGAGATTCCAACTCATATTGTAGTGTATTTTGTAAGATTTCACCAAGAGCAACAAATTGGAAGGAATATGTGTTAGATAAATATAATCTATATGATGTACCTATGTAACTCATAGTCTGTCACTGTCTAAAAGAACTTCACTGTAGAATCTCTCAGAGCTGATATGTGTGATTAAGATGGTAATAAAGTTGAACCAAGATCAATAATGTGCTAATGTGTATTTGGGATGCATTTATATCTAAACGTTTGGGAAATACTAATTAAATATTACATTTATATTAAGGCCAGTATGATGGCCGATATTATAAATCAATATGCTTTGACTGTTTTTTTAAAATTACATTCATCATTCAAGGCCCGAAACATATTTTATGCAAATGTGTTAATGCAAGCACTTCATAATAATTCATAATTTCACAAGGAGCACTAGATATGTTCCTCTACACTTGTGAAAAAGAAGTACTCATGTGCCCTTGTGGTGTACTTTATCATAAAACTTTTTTTAAACTGCACTTGCAGATAATGTAATGTTAATGAAATAAAAGGCCACTTATGTGTACCTAAAGAGAGAACACTTTCATCACTGCTTTTAAACACACTTAAGTACACTTTTAAAAAGTGCACTTTGTAATAATGTCAAACTAAAAGGTTTACTTTAAAGTACATTTTTTAAATTATTGTTTTAAATATCTTTTGTCATGCTTTAAAGTGCTTTTTATTTCATCTAATTTCCATTTTAAACAATACATTTACATTTAATTGCAGTTAACATGCATTAAAATAATTTGCAACCTCTGTGAACTGAATGTAAAGTATATTATTTTCATAAGTACTTTTTTAAAGTATGCTAAAGTGTACTTGTTTCTGCAAGCAAGTTGAATAATAAAACATCCAACATGAGCATTTGAAAATTACTTGCCCCTACACTAGTTTACTTTTATTATTTATTTTTTACAATCGCTAACACACATTTCTCAATACTTAGGTCACCTTTTAAAAACTCTTTACGCTGAGCACAAAAAAAAAAAAAAAAACTCAAGTTAAAAATCGAACATAATACAAAAATTAATAAGACAGAATTTTGCTAAATTTCTACCGTAATACCATATTGAAATATAATCTGACTCGAAAAATCAATCAAATACTATCAAAACAATTAGATGTAGCTGAACACCTACACAAGTGTTAGTCTTTCAATTTCATTACCATCTATACAAAGGGGGAAAACTTAGGAATAATGTTGTACTATCTGTAATATAAACATGGACTGTAACATACTGCAGTGAATTATAAGCAGTAGAGAGTGATAGTATTTAATTTTTAGACCAGAATGTATTTCAATATTACTGCAGAAATGTGACAAATTGCTGTCTTATTCGATTTTGTATTATGTTAGGTTTTGAACTTAAATTTAACAGTTTTGAAAGAGAATGCAAACGTGCAAATTGGCCTGTAGGTATATAGAGATTTAGTGGTGGTAGATTTTTAAGTGAGACGTTTTTTTTTGTCATTTGAAAGATGTAGTCATTGAATGCATTTTGTGCCAAAGCAATAATAAATAATCCACAGTTTAGTGCACATAAACTGCTGTTGTGATCACTGTTTGGAGAGTTCTGAAAAAGTAACCTAAGTATTGAGAATTGTGTTCTAGCGATTATTAATAAAAAAAAAGTGTAGTGCTTTAATGTTATTGTGTTTCTTCTTTGGTGGCATGAAACTAAGCATGTGTACGTAATCAGACCTGCACTCTTCTCTTTTTTTGCGCACCTTCGGACCAAAATCTACAGTGTATAATTCTTCATGCAAATCAGCCATGAAAACACAATTTAAAGAAGACAAAACATATCCTTGTCACTCATACTGTATATTCTGACCTTGTGCTATGATTATATTGTGCAGATAACAAAGAGAGAATCTGGGGAGAAAAAGGAAGAACAGATCCTGCCTATGAAATTATGGATGGTCGAACAACAGAGAGGAGCCCAGAGGTGAAGATATTCCTTTTGAATTACATTTGATAGAAGTATGCAAAAATACAAAAGCAACTCAACACAGTGCAATTAACACAGCTGTGCTCGATTAACCCTTTAATGCACAAAAGATTTTTAAAAGAGTGTTGTCTTTTTTATAAGGGCCAAGGACTGCAGATGCTAGGTCAGATTTTCTTGAGACCAGTGTTGTTATTGTCAACTAAAACCAAAACTATTAAAAGTCACAGTTAACACAAAGCTGAAAAAAATTAAATATAAATATTAGATGAAAAATGGATGAACTGAAATAAAATAATAAGTTAATAATATAAGTCTAAGTTGAAGTTGTCATGAGTATGTTAGTTTCATTGTGTTTTGGTTTGGTTCTCATCTGTTCTTGTTTGCCTGGTTTCCCAATCCTTGATTGTTTCTATGGTTACTGATTATGTTTCACACCTGTCTCTAGTTTTGTTGATTAGCCTCCTTGTTTATTTAACCTCTTAGTTCCCTTTGTTCAGTGTTTGGTTCAGTGATCTCCTGCGTGTTACCTTTTGGATTTATTATTAAAGACTGTTTGTTGGTACTCATGCGCTCTTTACAGCCACAGCCTGACAGAAAACCGAACATGGATGTAACGACTAGACCGATCAAACACACCATTGTTACACTTAATCTTCACAACTCCTCACCCAGAGTTAAAAGAATATTCAAACATTCGCTCACATTTAATGATCCACAGATATCATTAAAACCTTTTCATTTATGGAGTCAGATGAAATAACGAGAAAATACATATGAGAAAATGTATTGCATTTAATCAAAAATACTTTGCCACGAGAAAAGACAGTAACACATAAAGACCTTCCGTGCTGGTCGGGTGACGGACTTTGGGCCGATCGAGCACGAGTTTACTCATGCACAAAGTTCAAAACAAGAAGGGTAGCCTTTAGGGGTGTAACGGTTCACAAAATTCACGTTTCGGTTCGAGACGATACAGTGGTGTCACGGTTCGGTACATTTTCGATACAGCAAAAAGAAAGAAATGCCAGAGAAATTTCCTATTTATTAAAAGAAAAAATATTTTTAAATAAGTTTGAGTTTTCCTACATCTTGAAACTTTCAGGTTTATAAATGGGGGTAATCTTTGAAGGATGAACAAATAATGTTTTGGTCATCACATTAAAAATAACATTTAAATATAGGCCTATATTTATATATATAATATTTAGATAATATTTGAGTTTTGAAGTGCTGGAAAAAGATGTGTTAAGTACTTGAAAGCATTTCACTATTCCAGCCAAACTTCCATGGTTACAGTTAGTGTTACTACATTAAATCCATGGTGAATGTTGCTGATCTGTGGACTTAAAGCCTATAACTAGATCATTCACGGCACAATGTTTCTCCTGGTTTCCACGTCAGCGCTGTTTGATCTAATAGAGATCTATGGTTTATAACGGAGAAATTTGATTGCTTCTCACTAGATCTCGCAGCGATATTATTACTTCAGTGGCGAATTCAAATGTTTTCTTCACTGGATCTCTTAGCACTGTGTAGTAACAGTGTCGCTTGATCAAGATCGGCTCGCGCTGCACAGATGTTGCTGGTCCGAACTGATAACCGGTCCGTGAAGCACAATATAATGAGTAGCGCAGTTTCGTCCCGCTTTCATTACGTTTGCCATTTGATGTTGCGCAACGTTGTGGCCGTCGCGCCAGCGCGGATTTTATCGGCATGAAAAATGGTCCAAGGAATCGTTCGGTTTGAATGCGTACCGAACCGGAAGCCTCGTACCGAAACGGTTCAATACGAATACATGTACCGTTACACCCCTAGTAGCCTTATGAAAAAAGAAAACACGAATATCGCGGTTGCTGCGGTTACTTGCATTCCTCTGCTTGTCAGTGGCACGGTACTACAATATTGCGGTTATCACGACAACCCTACTACTAGTTAAGGCAGCCCTATCTAAGTGCTGTCTGCTATCAAAATATTCCTCGTTTAATGACTCCACCTTCTCATAGAATGCAGTGTGTTTTTGTAATATTTATCAGAGTATAAATGGACACCAACTGCCAGCTTACTCCAATCATGCAAATGATTTATCTTTTGAAACAAATTAACTTTCCCGCTTGAGAATTGCACCTTTCTCCTTGGTCAAGCCAAAACTCAAGTTGGTCAAGCCAAAACTCAAGTTCCCTCCGCACACTCGCTGGCTTCTGCTACTGATTGCTGTTCACGTGAAACCTCATCCGGCCTTGCCTCAACACACATCAAGCCATGTGTACCTTCCTCGACCATAATAGAGTCAACTAACTCCACAAGTTCACCATTGCTTCTTCATTCAACTCGGAAGAAATCGATTACAACTTCAGCACCATCGGACCAAACTATCAAGACTTTCTCCTCGTATATTCGGGCACTCTTAAACAGCTAAGGCAAATGCAAGTATCGTATGATATACTAAATCGCTGTTTAGCTAAAGTTGTGAACCCCTTTGTTAACAAAGTAGCTTTGTAGTAAGGCACTGTTAAGTAAGGTTCTTCTTAACAGGTTAAATGACTCTTCTCATAGCTAGATTTACCTGCTATTTCTGCCACTGAGGATAAGCTGTGCCAGTCCTCGGTACTGTTGTATGAGGAATTATAAGAGTTAAATCCCCAAAGCCTCACGTCACTGATGGTTCCGCCCAGCTCCAAGTCTCCTTCATCGCTGATGGTCTCACCAGGACTATCTATCCCGCCTCCTCTACATAAGCCAGCCAGTCCTCCGGCCCCGCCTCTGCTGGCTCCCTTAAATTCCTTGGCTCCTCCTCTTTTGGCTCCACTCTGCTGCGTGGATCAGCCTCGGGTCTTCTGGTTTCCAGTTCCACCTTGGCAAGTAGATCCCTTGGGCCACCGAGCCCTTAACTTCACCTCAGCCCATCAACCAGTCGGCTCCACATGGGACCCTCGTCCTTACGGCTCCAAGGGCTCCCTCGTCACTCCGGTTTCGCCTTGGTCAGTCATCACTCTACTTAGGCCACGGACTTCCGAGACTTTGGCTGCATTTCGTCCCTCGACCCATTCGGCTCAGTCAGGCTCCGCCTTCGCTCTGGCTCCACCTTGGTCCTTGGTCCCACTGCCGCCCCTCAATCCTCCAGCTTTCTGGCTTCACCTCAGCTGCTCTACCTCACCACTGCTACACCTTGTCCTCCAGGACCTACAGTGTCGCTCCGTTTATGTCTCCTCGGCTCTGCCTAGGTCTCCAACTCTCCTGGCTCCACCACTGGTGGTCGGATCTCTGACTCCACTCTGGCTCCTCCTACCATCGGTTCCACTGTGGGCATTCATGGCTGTGCTCTGGGTCATCAGAACACCTACAGTACCTCCATTGTCTCCTCCATGGTGATTTCCTCTGTCCTCTTCCCCTCCTTGCTCACATCCCTCTCCAGCTCTACATCCTCCTCCAGAGCCCCCACCCATAATTGACTGTATTTATGTAAATACTCAGAAAGACTGACATTTTGACATATTTTTTGTGTGTATTTGACAATTTAGGCACACCTGAAACCCCAAGTATACTTTGCTCACCCATATACATTCCACTCTGTCTCGCAGCAGTCACACAGAAAGCTGGTGAGGATCAGTCTCTTTAGCAGTTACGTTTTGAAGTTTCACGCTTTTAATAACTCTTTTTAAAATAAAGCATGTCCTGCAGGAGACAGCCATGTTACATGATTTGACTGATTTGGATGTTAAGTTTAGGCTTTTAAGGAGGGGCAAAAGCACACCAATTATCATTTTATCCTTATTATCACGTTTTCAAAATTGTTGGAAGTCCAAATCAAAACAGAAACTAAAAAATGTGATTCACCGCACAGCCCTACTGCTGTTGAGTTGTTTTTCAAATGGGTCCCCATGCATGAAAGAAAGACACATGATAAAGACACGTGATATAATATGGCCAGTCAGCACAGCTATCAAGTAGGCAGTCATTGCAGTATTTTAACATTATTACGAGTACATAAAAGATCACAATCTCTACGATTCGCTTGAAAAGTAGATCGTGGACGTCTTCAAGATCGATCACAATTTAAAATCGTCAGATCGCCTACCCCTAGTCACAAGTAGGCTATGTTCGTTTTTTTGTGTTTTGATTTGGTCTTACTTTGATTTGGTCTCCTGCGTCTTACCTTTTGGATTTAATATTAAAGACTGTTTGTTGGTCTTCATCATTGTGCACTCATCACAGCCACATGGTCTAATGTCAATAGTAATTAGCATTTTTTTTTAAATACCCTATATTTAATCTATTTTCATTGCATGCAATGAAAAAAGAAACAATGATATTTTTTCCTTCATTTAATGACTTGTGCATCAAAGGTTTAAGCGATACAACTGAATACATAAATACAACTGAATGCCACATGCAACAGTGTGTTATTAGCAGGCAATCACCTGAAAACTGCATTTGTAAAGGATGGCTGAACCTGTATAGACAAGTTACAGATTAAACTGGTGTGGACATGTTACTTTTAAACAGGAACCGGGACTAATGAAGGTGTGTTTTTCCATGGATGAACATCTTACTCTTTCTCTCTCTTTCTGTGACAGTTGGAGAAGGGGAGCAGGTTTGAGATCATAGACAGCTGTGCTGCTTCTCAAAGGGTTTCTCATCATCTCACTGAAGGTGAACTCACTTTGCCTGAGGTCTGTGGTGTTTTCTGTAGATATGTGTGTTTGTGTTTGTGTTTTTGATGTGGGTCTGATCTGTGCGTTTCAGGTGGAGTGTTTGCGTTTGCAGTGGACGGATCAGTGATGACAGACAGGCTCAGAGGAGACGCAGTAACATACGTGAATATTCCCACCAGCCCCATGTCCAAAAAACAGCTGCATTACATGGAACTAGAGTTGCAGGAGTCCAGCACGACCATCAGAGGTGCAAAACAAGCAAATAATAATTACTAATGTATACACATCAACACCATATATAGATATAGTATACGGAAGCTTGTTGCCGCCACAGAAAAAAACAAAACAAAGGTCATTTTGATGTTTGACTTTTTTTTCCTGGGAGGAAGTGGCGGGCACAGAAGGCAGTAAAGCGGGCTGAAGTGAGGCTGAGACATGGCATGTTGGTAGGCTCTTTGGCAGCTGGACGAGACGGGTTTGGTAGGAGAGGTGGAAGAGGAACGTCAGAGTAGGACAGTGGCTATGTGCAAGCAGGGAGCTTGGACTAATTGGGACCATACAACTGCATGTAAGATCACCTGGGCAGAACTTTGGAAGACAGAACCAGCTAGACTCAAGTTTCTGATCCAGTCAGTGTACGATGTCCTTCCAAGCCCAGCCAACTTGCATTGCTGTGGTTTAGCCCACTGTGCCTGGCAAGAGGTTCCTTAGAGCACATCTTGAGCTGCTGCCCGAAAGCCTTGGGAGAGTGGAGGTACAGGTGGTGCAATGACCAGGTGCTAAGGGCAGTAGCTGACACCATCTGCATTGCAATCCAATAGAGAAAACATCAGCTCCCAGTAAGGCACAACATCACCTTTATCAGGGTGGGAGAGAAACATCAGGTGGCTGCTAGCCTCGGCTCATGATTGGCTGCTGGAGGTTGACCTAGGTAAGCAGCTGAAGTTTCCAGAAAACATTGCAAGGATGACACTCAGCCCAGATTTGGTCTTAACATCTGACTGTTCCAAGCAAGTGGTCATGTTGAAACTTACTATGCCTTGGGAAGGCCGGATAGAGGAGGCCCATGAGCTCAAGAAGGCCAAGTATCTCGAATTGGCAGAGGAAGGTTATGTAGAAGGCATGGGTGGAGGGCCCGCTGAAGGGGCTTTGCAGGACAGTCTTTACATTGGACACTCAGTCTTCTTGGTATAAGAGGGTTGCAGGAAAGAACAGCCACCAAGAACATCACAGAAGCTGTGGAAAAAGCATCAAGGTGGCTGTGGATCAAGAGGGGTGTTCTATGGGGTAGTGCGCTACTTGGACACAAGCCGGGGACTGATCACACCCTGCTGGGCCGCCCAGGCCAGGGTGTCTGATGATCTAAGACCCGAAACGACCTATGACCCTGGGTTTATCACTGATGATGTGTCTAAGTTGAACCATTGGGTGTTTCAGAATCAGAATCCATAAACTTGCAATTGCAATTGCAAAAAAAGAATTTTTTTTATTTTTTATACTGTGGCAGACACAAGCTTCCATAATATTAATTATTCATTATTAAGTTAAACAAACAGAGCACCTGCTTTCAAGTCATTCACAGTCACATTCAAGATACAGCCCATCTGACAAAAACAGATTTTACTCTTTTTAAAGCAAAACAGCCTGAAGCTCAAATACAATAATAAATGTCACTCACTACAAACATCTGAAAATATCAATTTCACTAAATACAGTGTATTTATATTTATATATGGCTATTGTAGTTATTCAAAATATTTATCTATGTATGTGTTTTTTGCTAATATATATATTTTTAATTAAATATATTATAATGAATTATGTAATTTATTCCTGTGATGAAAAGCTGAATTTTCAGCATCTTTACTCCAGCATTCAGTGTCACATGATCCTTCAGAAATCCTTCTTCTAATATGCTGATTTGCTGCTCAAGAAACATTTCTTATTATTATCAATGTTGAAAACAGTTGTGCTGCTTGATACTTTTGTGAAAACCGTGATCATTTTTTTCAGGATTCTTTGATGAATAGAAAGTTCAAAAGAACAGCATTTATTTAAAACAGAAATATTTTGTTACATAAATGTTTTTACTGTCACATTTGATCAATTGTATAAGCCTTTCTGAATAAATATTTATTTGTATAAGTAATATTTTAAAAGTAATAAATTCAACTTTTTCAGGCCAACATCAACATCTGTCTTGTTCTGGTTCTGTTCAGGGAAAAGCTCCAGTAAATACGCTCAGATTGACATCGCAGCGACCGAGGCGGCTCACAGAGCAGGTACCCAGCATGCATTGGGGCGAGAGGAAGGGCTTCAGAGACTGGAGCAGCAGAGGAGAAGACGAGGACTGAAAGAGGACTGAACTGAGAGACACTTCATCTGGAGAGTTCATGATCGTCTCTTGCTCTAGACAAACTGACCAAAACACTACATTTATGTGATGACAGTAAAACACAAAAAAATAGTGTGTCTACAGAAGTTTCCACTCATTTTCTCATATAGTCGACTGTGGATTTCACTATGTAGTGAATAGTGAGTGAGTGTGCAGTGTTAATCAAAGCATAAACACAAGTGTTTTAAATGCAGTAATGTATACAGCTCACACACACAGACACTGCTTAGATGAACATGTTAAACACGCATCGAGTGTACAGTAAGCCGTAAATACATGGATTGATAAAATATCTGCATTCTCATGTTAGATGAATATGTGCAATGCACAGAACCAAAAATGCATTTTTATTTATTTGTTTTTTTATTAATTTATTTAGTTTTAAAATGCTGAATATTACTTTCTAGTTGCATTTGTATTAAATATGCTGCATTTACTTTTTAGTCTTTTTATTAACCTAAATTAAAGTCGTGTCATGTGAAGACAATAATTTTTAAATTAAACTACTGTTTTTGTATCTTAGATTAATTTTGGAACCAGAAAATCATGCATTGCAGGTGTTCAGTGTCCTCTGTAGATCACATGCTGTATTTTCTCATAGTTTCAGCACTGAAGGAAGTGAACACAGTTTGAACTGTGATATATGAAAAACATATAATGCTGCTGCTATATTAATCAAAGTGTTTGTGACAATAATGCTAATAATAATCGTTTGTATATACAGGTGTAAAATAAAATAAAAAACGAATTTTCAGTAGCCCTACTGTTTCTTATTATTGGAAACTTTAGTCTAATTTTTATCTGGAGACGCAGTTATATTGTCTCGCCGCCAGAGGACAGCGTGAGGCTTTAGAAACGGCTGTAAATTTAAGGGAATAAACCTGATATGAAAACACATTGTAAAGCTGGTGGAAAATAGAAACATCTATTATTATAGAATCATCTCCTCGTGTTCCTGGTGATTATCTTCAAGAGAAAGAAGGAACACTGGAGTTTGGCGAGGATTTCTAAACGTAGGCCTAGATGACCAACAAAGGAGGGTGTTTTAAAGAAATTAAAGGATTCAGAAAATAGTTCAACATCCCAGCTGTTCTAAGGACGTTTTGATAGATAGGTTTCTAAGGTCGTTTTGATATTCCATTAAGTTATAGAAACTTTATTTTCTGAATGGTCTCTGGACGTTCAGAACGTCCAGTTTTTATTTATTTAAATGTTTTAAAAACGTCCCATGAACGATTTGTGCTGACGTTGTGAGGACGTTATTAAAGACCATAAACGTTACTGGAAGAACGTTTAGCTGTGAAAGCATTGCCAGAACTTTCTGAGAATGTTGCCTTTTAGCGGGTAATTGGATGGCATTGATTTGCACTGACAGAAATAAAAAGGCACACTGCATTTAAAGTTTTAAATCTACACTGCAAGCAACATGATATAGGTGACCTCACTGGGATTCTGGGGCCGGATTCACGAAAATCTTAAGAAAGAAGTTAAGAAAAGTCTTAAGATAAACTAAGAAGTTTGTAAGAATGTTCCTAAGTACAATTCTGGAAAAAATATTAAGTTCTCAAATATTGTCCTTAAGAAAATGAAAGGCTTTGGTGTTATTTGATTGAAAGGCGGTGGCCTATTGCTGAAGACTCGATGAATGAAAAACACATATAGTCCATGTAAGCTGCCTGTAGATTACCGTAGTTATATTAATACGCGCTCATACTGTCCTCGCGACTGGCTTTACGGGAGTTAATCACTCAGCGCTGTGATTTTACTGCATCTTGTCAAGTTCAAATATTTTAAAAGAGCCTATCTCAAGGTGCAGCGGTCTTTCCCATTCATTTGCTCCGTAGGCTATTTTGTTGCGCTCCCACTATGCGTCCTGTATGTGCGCTGCCTGCAGAGATGCTGCGTCTCCCCATCAGCTCCAGGGCTGCGTCCGAAATCGCACTCTCTTCTTGAGTAGGCCTAGGTACTTATACTTTGTGACCGCAGAAAAAGTATGTTCTATATAGTATGAGTGTATGTTCTATTGTAGCCTATGTGTGTCATCATTTATAGGTTATATCTTCAAGATCAGTTACTGAATAAGGACAGATGCGCAATCATAAATTGATAGAGAGGTGAGTTAGCCTAACACTAGCAGACTGTAAATCATTACTCACTCTGAATTGTGTCCATCAATCTTAATGAGACAGCGAGAATGTGTGTGTGTGTGTGTGTGTTAATGAGGGCGAGAGTGTTCTGGATTTTGCGTGGGCAATTGTAATAGATTCAGCAAAAAAGTACTGCATAGATCTGCACAGTGCATAAAAGCAATTAGGCTACCCGAATAAACATTCCCAAACACACACACACACAAAAGACACAACAACCCGACTAAACACCAGCAACACTCCTACACCACAACACGTTCACACTTCTGTCTCCTGAGAGTGCAAGTAAACACAGCCATTATTTTTAAATAATAAAAATGAAGAGTCAGCTCCCTGTCAGCTCGCTCAAGAAACTGAACTCACTCAACACGGACAGATCATGATGAAGCAAATAAGGGCTTCTCTTCTCTCTCTTTTTGTGCGACACATCTTTCATAAAAAAAGCATTTCTCTGTAAATCTCATTATTGATTACTGCAAAAACATTCTATTTTTATATTGTCATTATTGTATGTGTACAAATATTTATTTATTTGTATAAAGTAAAGGTAGCCTACTACTGTACTATATGTTACCATAACCAGAGGCACCATTTACAAACAATAGTGTCATGTCAGTTATGAATGGGAAGGGAGGGGGAGTATGTGTGAACATGATGATTTGTGCTTTTTCTATCAGTCGAAACTCGTGATGATGTGAGACTTCTCCTGTCAGAGAACGCCGCTGCTGTAACCACGGCAACGCTTCCACTTGGGCCATTACATGTCACAGAACCACACGGTTGCGCGGAATCGTGGTGGGCGACACCTGTGCGCTCTCTCTCTCTCTCTCTCTCTCTCTCTCTCTCTCTCTCTCTCTCTCTCTCTCTCTCTCTCTCTCTCTCTCTCTCTCTCTCTCTCTCTCTCTCTCTCTCTCTCTCTCTCTCTCTCTCTCTCTCTCACACACACACACACACACACCGAGAAAGAGAGAGGGGCTGTGGTCGGTTTGAACATCGCTCCTCGCCATAGGTAATGTATGGGAATAAGAGCATGAAATTGGACACAGAGACGCGCTCTCGGAGCTCCGCCCCTAAATAACATCATCAGCATCATCATAGTCGGAAAGAAATTACTGGAGGGCACGAGAGAGGACGCACGCGGACTGTCAACCTGCTGTATGCGTCGCGCCGAACCGTCGCGTTCATCCATCACCTCTGAATGTAAGTCACATTATTTCATTTATTCGATCAGTAAGTTTATCAATGTGTTTATTTGCTTTTAATATACAGTTCAAAAATGGTGCGTTGTACATTGCACATGATGCATCATTAGTGTTATTAAGAGAACTTACCTTCATTTATCAGACTATTGATTATTTAGCCTTTATCATTCATATTTCGGCACACAGAGCTCAGAGGTCATGAGAATCACAGGTCTGTTGCATGTCAGACAGACTGTGATTATTCAGGTATGACAGCCATACCCCCTTTAATAACAGCATGATAAATGACAGCATTATTAGAAGTGACATTGCCACGCATGGAAAAATGTACTGATGATGTTCATAAAATGAAAGACAAAATGACTGGGAGAGAGAGAATAACAACGCGACGAGCATAGTAAGGGGTTTGGAGAAATACAATGTTTATTTATTTTATTATTTACCTACATTTGTCCAAATATCAGTATTCCCAAAACAACAAATTAAACCAACTCAAATTCTCCATTATTATTATATTAATACAACTATTAATTGTAATAATACGAATAATATGTATTATTTTCAGTAAAAGTAAAACAAAATAAAGACATATTTAGTACAGCTAACTAATTGTAGGCTACTTACCTGTAGGTTTTTTTTTTGTTTTGTTTTTTTACACTTAATTTGTATATTTTCCAGCCACTAAGCCTATAAATGCTTCAATTCAATCTAAAGCCATACTAATATGCTTTAAAGAAAATATGTAAATAAAAGACCTATTTTAATCCGACTTCATGACTTTCATTCATTCTAGTATTCTAATATCATGATCATTGAGGAAGGAATAGTCTTGATATAGTGAGGAAGAGAAGACTTTTAAATGTGTTGTAACACTGGCAGGAGTATCTGAAATTAAACTATGAAAGTTCCATTAAAATGTTCAGAAGCATTGTTGTGTGGCGATCTAATACATTTAGGTCTTCAGAAACCATTTTTATAGATAATAATGAGTCAAAATGAAAACATTTGTGTTCATGGCAGTCAGTAGTATGGCAAAGGCAGTAGTATCGCTGTTGAAGAATTTGAGCTTTTATTTAGATCTTATTTTTGGTTATATAAGGTTCATGCTGTGAAACTGCTGCGTAGGGCATGAGAGGGATGCAGACATGCTTTTGACATTGTGCCGTTTCACTGTGACCTTGAAAATGCAGACGCAGCTGTGAGTAAGAGCAAGTCAGCAATCGCAGATGCTCACAGATTCACACATTGCACATACACACACACATACACACCATTTACTTAGTGCACTTGGACATACGTATTGCACGGACACTGACCTGGCAGCATAGATCTTGTTGGCTTTGTGTGATGTGTGATTAACCCCCACCCCACCCTTTCTGTGTGATTATTTTTCTCAGGCTAATATGAGGAAGCCTCTGGTGTGCTGAAGGACATCTGGATTTCACAGATTTATTGTACAAGTAGCATTCTCAGCATGCGCTAAGCCCAACCGTAGCGTAACAAGAGAGCACATGAGTGTTGAAACAGAGAGAATGGCCATGGCCTCCGACGTGCAGCACAGTCAGATTGTCTGTGCCCGCCAGCGCTTATGGAGAAAACTCAGGCCTGCGCGGGTGATCAGCCTCCTCATCAGTCTCGTAGCAATAAGTGCAGTGGCCTTCTCGTGGCGCTCTACTGCTCAGTGGGAGGGGATTCAGAGCCACGCCCCACACAGAACACTGCTATCCACACACCTGGGTTACCACAGTAACCTTTCGGAGGACACGCCCATAGCCATGCGCTCGTCCGCAGAGTCAAACGAGAGTCAAGGGGACTATCCGAATGACCTGTTCAGCCTGGAGGACCGTCGGCGTGGCGCTGTCGTGTTACACATGTTCGGCATGATCTACATGTTCATTGCCCTCGCCATCGTTTGCGACGAGTTTTTTGTCCCCGCGCTCACGGTCATCACAGAGAAACTCACGATCTCAGATGACGTGGCGGGTGCCACCTTCATGGCGGCCGGGGGCTCGGCTCCTGAGCTCTTCACCTCCGTCATCGGCGTATTCATTTCCCACAGTAACGTGGGCATCGGAACCATTGTCGGCTCCGCTGTGTTCAACATCTTGTTCGTCATTGGAATGTGTGCTGTATTCTCGAAGGAGATCCTGAACCTGACGTGGTGGCCTCTTTTCAGGGACGTCACCTTCTACATCATCGGCCTCATTATGCTCATAGTTTTCTTCCTGGATAACTACATCACGTACTTGGAGAGTATCAGCATGCTGCTTGTCTACGCCACCTATGTGCTCTTCATGAAGTTCAATGGGACGGTAGAGACTCTTGTCAAGAGCATCACGAACAGAAACCAGGTGGTGGAAGTGGAGGCTCAGCCAAAGGTGAGTTGACAACATCTCTTCCTTCCTCTGTCTTTCCAACCACTGTAGCCCCCCCCCCCCCCCCCCCCCCGTCCCATTTGAATTGGGGACTGGTTAAAGGTGTCATATAATGCCATTTTTGTACAAGCTAATATGATTATTTAGGGTCTAAATTAAAAGTTTGTAATATACTTTAATTAAAAATTCTCATTAGTATTGTAAGAAAACATTTATTTTACTTGGTCAAAAACAGCTCTGTTTTCAGCACGCCGTTTCAGTGCATATGCCTTTAAATGATAATGAGCTTTGCTCACCCCGCCTCTCTGTTCTGTGCGTACACCGTTTGTAACTCAATAACACAATAACCATAACGAGTTGTTCATTATAAACGTGGGATTATGAATTATATTGAGAACGTCGTACATAGAAAACATGCCGTAATGTACCCTGAGTGTAAACCTTAGACGCATTCATCGTGAAGCGTGCAGCTAGCGATGTGCAAAGATTTATATAAATATTAATATAAAGGTTAATAAAACGTACACTCACTTCAGTTCTTCTGGAGGTTCAGTAGGAACACGAATAGTTGGTACCGATCCTTTTTTCAGGAGCAGCTTCTTAGCAAAACCAGCTTTATACTGACCCTCGTTTATAAAGCAGTCTGGTGTGTGAAATGATTCGCGCAAACATGAAAGCAGTGACGTTGATCGTGGGGAATATTCCCTTCGAAAACAAAACTCAGCCACTGTGTCTTCAGCGTTTCGGATTTAGGAACATTAAAATGACTGCTGTGTTCCTTATTGCACCCAAGAATAGAACACCACTTCGCTTAGACTCCATTCTGCTCATAGACAGTGCTCCAGTATCAACGCGGACTATGATTGACAGCTCACTCACGAGCGAGGGCGGGTCTGTGTTGAAACGCTGCTGTCAATCAACAATCGTGGGAGGGGCGTCCGTTTTATTGACGTCACAAAAACGAACGGCTCAATTTGAGACAGGGGAAAACATATAAGGAGATTAAAACAAAAACACTGGATGGATTTTTATCATTATATGATGTTTGTGTACAGGCACTGCCAACACACATTTCAGTGCAATCAACTTGTAAAAGTGCATGTACCATTATATGACCCCTTTAAGTAATTTCTAGGTAGGATTAGTGAAGTAATAGGAGATACCACAATGACCCAACAAGCTTCCCAAACCCAAAGATACCAAAGTTTGAAGACCAATGGATAAGCAGAAAAATACAAATGATTAGGCCTATTCCTTTTTACGCAATAGTAATCTTGTACTAGGCCCTATACCAATAGCCGCTCTCAGCCCTTGAGGTCCTCATCACAGTCCACACATTGATGGCGTTGTGTAGGCCAGAGATCTACAACTTCTGTCCTGGAGGGCCGTTGTCCCGTTGACTTTTATTATTTGCTTAATAATATGTGGACAGTGATTGAAATGTTATTTAGCCAGACAGCAGGATTTGGGGGACAGCAGAACATAGAGCTGTCGGCATGCACAAGAGATCCTGAGGATGATGAATAAACATATAAATTCTAAACACACAATACTGGACCCGAGTCAGAACTCAAATGTTGCCAGGCAACAGGTAGAAGTTGTCTTTATGGCATACACTCAGATACATATATCTTGCATGACTGTGAATATAGTTTTCCTGCAGTTTCCTGTGTTTTGGTTCTTCATTAAGGCATAAGATCTTCATTTGTGATGCAGTAGTCATGGATGCAGCCAAAATAATCCTGCAGGCTTTATGTAGCGTAATCCATTTGTCTCCGCTACTGCAACGAGGCCTTGACTAACAATAATCATGATCTAATACCGCAGTTTAACCTTGAGCCTAATCCCTAACCCCTGCAGTTGTCAAAGCATCTTCAAGCACCACACGAGAAGTTTTACAATTTCCAAAGGAACGTCCCTTAAAAACCTCTTGACACGTGGTTGACGTCACTTTGTTTACCATGGTTTAGATTTACATTTATTTAATAGATGAATCTATCCAATCCGTCGCACTAAAATTTCCATGACAAGCATCCATTGAAAAACAGCACTTTTTGTCCACAAAAGAGCTAAATCTGTGAAATATATTGATATATTGTCCATTGTTTACGTCAGATTTCGCCTGAAAGATCTACTCTCTATCATTGTCTATTGTGAAATTATGCAATCTGAGCACCGTTTATGTTGTAAAAGTAAAACTGTATACGATCGTACACATTAGACTCTCACAAACAAATGAGCCCACCTCCAACTTTTATTTTTCAAAATAGGGCGGTAGTTTTTTTTTTTTTTTTTTACATCTTCAGGGGCATATTCTCCAGCCATTGTCATTGTAGTAAATCTTGACGACAAAACTTTAAGCCAATGCCAAGACGATTCCAACAGCGTGTGTTCTGTTTATCTTCCACATGTGCACATAGAGGTATTTTTATGATTATGTACTGCTGTCTGGACTAGGGCTGCATGATATATAATTTTAGATAGATTGTATTAATTAATTAATTAATTATATTAGTCTGTTGTGAATGATTAATTCCTTTCAGATAGAGCTATTTAAATCCTCTGGTGAAAATGTTTTTCTATCGCAATATACACTCCTGAACGAAATCTTAAGACCGGGGGAAACATTACCAGTATTTGCATTTCACGCTGGTGGATCGTTACCGGGTTGTAAGTACTGCTTCAAAATGCCAAAAGAAGAAACAGGAGCAAGAGACAAAAAATAGAGAGAAGGCAATTTATTGAAAACTGTATTTAATCTCAAACAGGCTGTTCATCAGCTGATCAAAAGTTTAAGACCATAGCCCCAAAAATCCTACAACAGAACTACCGTATTTTCCGCACTATAAGGCGCACTTAAAAGCCTTTAATTTTCTCAAAAAACGACAGTGCGTCTTATAATCCGGAGCGCCTTATATATGGATGGAACACACGTTCACCAAGACGGGGAGACAGCGCCGGGCGACTTACGCCACTATCTGCCAATGGATCGTGCATGCCTGGGCTGATATATCAGTCTCAACTGTGATCCGAGCTTTCACGAAGGCAGGAATAATCTCTTTATTCAGCCAGCTCACATACCCGTATTTACTTCCTGTTTTCGGCCGAAGTCCACAGTAGTTGATTGTCGAGTTCGCGCGCGCGCGATCAAACCTCCTCCGTGTGTTCAACATCTGATTCGGATGAACTATCCATTTGAGCTGATATTCTCAGAACACCACACAGCACCGTCATCGGCTGACAGTCTGAGTCTCCACTGTTGCTTAGTTACCAATGATCGCGCGCGCGCACTCGACAATCGCCTACTGTGGACTTCGACCGAAAACAGGAAGAAAATACGGGTATGTGAGCTGGCTGAATAAACATCATTTTTATATATCTTTCACATTTACTGGAGTCAGATTCACCGTGTTCACTCACATGGCTGTGCACTTTTAATGACACATTAAGGTTATTAAGAGGCTAAAAGCAGGTTTAAAACTTTTCCCGTTTAAGTCAACAGGGTGCAAATTTTAAAAAGAGGATAACACGGTGTAGGCAACACCGGTTTTTGTCGTTGTTCTCTGTACTGACAGCACTCCAAATTTACAAAAAATGAGCTCAATGTTAAAATTGACCGGAGTTTTCCTTTAACGTTTGAACAACGTTACCATGGGAGTGAACGGAGTTGTCAGAAAGCTTAATAAAGTTTGACTTTATCTGACTTTTTTGTTGACATTTGTTGACATCTAGTGGATGCATAACGCAAACTAGACATGTGCCGGTATTCGGTAATGCGATAAATCGCGGTAATGAATATGCACGATATTGTTATCGCGGGGACTTCGAAATACCGTGAAAAATAATAGATCCGAATTTAGATTTTTAGAACGCGCATCAGCTTATTTTCCATCAACCGCTTAAAAAACAATGCGTATGCTGCGCAAAACAAGTGCGCACTTTGATGTAAACAATCCCCACATCACATGTATAAGCACTGTGTGCATGCAGTGCGCACTCTAGTCTAATGTAAACAATCCTCACGTGGAGAAGAAGCACGGCGGAAGGAGGAACGCTGCCGACTATTTATCCCCCGCATGGCTGCCAACTCTCACGCATTCAGCTTGAGACTCACGCAATTGACACTTTCACACGGTCTCGCGCCACACATCCATTTTCTCACGCAGAGAAAAATCGCGGAGCAAAGAGGACACTGACACCGACAGACTAGACAGAGCAGGTTACTTTTGATATGAAAAAAAACATCAGCTCTCAGGTTCTGTCCATTTTATAACGAAATTCAGACAATAAATACTGTTTTGCTGCTTGTAAATGTGACGTGACAGATCGCGCGCCTCAGTTCAAGTAAACCGATCATCTGTTACTTTTTATTAAAGATACAGTACAACCCACCGAAAGGTACGTACTTTCGATCAATCAGTGTTTTTCAACCACGGAAAGAGGTCAATAAAACTGGAGAACAATTATGTCACAGAACGTTACATTTACCTCAGGAAAGCCATTTAATGTTAGTTGACTATAAGAAAATAGCTATAGAGAGGAGTATTTTGCTAAATATGTGCACTATATTACATATTTTAATATATGTTTACTTGTCATTATATAATTGTTATTATAATGAAAATTACGGCATATTACATTTTTATATTTATATTATTATTATATTTATATTGTATGCATTATATTTAATTTCTCTCTGTATGTTTACAGCATTATGTGAGATATTTTTTCGTGAGAAAAATTTAAATGCAGGCTATCTACTGTAGCCTACCTAATATTTATCCAAATGAGTCAATATTGAATCAAGATTGAAATTAAATCCAAGAATTTAATTGAAATCGTGAAAATTGTGTTAAGCAATAATACAAACAGTAGCCTCAGTAACTGTACCATGTAAACATTGTAACATGTTGTCACTAAAAAATAAAATTAATGTTTTGACAATCACAATTACACATTGTGATGCAAGTTTTTTTTAGATACCCCCAATCCATCTGTTTCTC